TATATATATATATATATATATATATTCTATTATCTGTCTGTCTTTTCGCTGAAGTTTTGATCACAGTTAAGACAAACAACCTTAATATTTATTGAGTCAGATCAACTTTCCCTTCTTCCTTCTTATCAACCAAAGCACAGAAAGTTTGAGTATTTGTCAGGCTGTTTTTCCTCTCTAATTTACTCAAGCTCTTATATTTCAGCAGCCCAGTAAAGTTTCTGGAGTTACCTCTCAAAGCCTTAAATGATTAAAGCTGACAATGGGCCATTCAACAAGTCCCTCATCTGTTGTTGTTTTGCGTTGAGCGTAATCCAAGGACGCCAGCAATGGCATTGTGCACGAGTTATAACAGCAGAATTTCTGTTGTCATATTTCTGTTGTCAGAAAACTCAGATTTTCGTCTTTCCTACTACTTAATTAATATTTAAAATCAAATAGACTTAATAGGTCCTCATGGAGAAATTGTTCGTCTACAAAATATCCATCTTATCCATGGGCAAACTCTTTCTGTATATGTTAATTTATAAAAGAAACAACAAAAAGTTAATGCTTTTGTTGTTGAACACTTTTTTTAACAAATCTATTGATTCAATGAAAACATTAACAAACAGAAAAGAAAAATGTTAACTTGTTGACAAGAATGACTAGTAATCAATGATTTTTCTGCATTGTGAGAATATTTCATGTTGCAACATGTTAGCCGTCTGTTAAATCATGTTCACTTGGCTTAAGAGTTTTAGTAAGTGTGAACTTCATTAGGGACATTCTTGTGTAAAATCTAATGCTAATTCATTTCAATTAATATCAACATACTTTATTAATCCCAAAAGAAAATTAAACATTGTTGTAACTCTTCTTCAACAAGATGCTGTAGATGTTACTAGCTATAGGCAGGAAGGATCTGCTGTAGCTGTCTGTCCTAAAGCGGTTCTGGAGAAGCCTCTGGCTGAAGACACTGTTATTGTACGACAGTTTCTTCAGAGGTTTCTGATGAAGACGATGCCCAGGCTTGTCCATGATGTTCTGGTCTACTTTATAAACACCTTTTTCTAAATCATCTCTTGATGTTCTAGAACTCCCAGAACAGAGCCAATAATCTTTATCAGGTTGTTGAGGTTCTTTAAGCCAGTTAGTGAAAAAAGTGCACAACCAACTAACTTTATAGTCTTACAGTTGATAAAGGTCCGTCTAAAAAACAAAACTGGGATTCTTTTTGGGTTTATTTCTTTGTTTCTCCAGAATTGGACAAAGAAACTGAACTCAGACTGCCATTAATTATGGGACCTTAATTAAATCAATGTAAGGACAGTTTTTTGATTGATCAATCATTCTGTTATTCTAATTATATTAATCCTTTTTATTAGTTTATATGTAAACAATAAACATAAAAAGCAGTCCTTTTTCTGCAAGTCTCTTTTCTTAATTTTAACATGAACATTTACCGTACACAAAACTGCAGATGCACAAAAGGGGGGTGTTGGTCTAGTGGTTAGAAAATGCATCATATAATACCACTGAACCATCATATAATACCACTGAACCAACATTTTTAACAAGCGTCCGATTTTACCCACATTCACCGAAGCAATCATCAAGAAGCAAACAATGTTGTGGTAATCATTTGTGGTGCCGTGGTAAAATGAAATTTTAAATTACATACGGTAACATAGCCTAACTAAAGCATGAAGAGAGCGAAAGAGTGAGGTTCCCACCTGGCGTCCTTATGGTGTACAGTGACAGCGAGGTAGTTATTATTATCGACAGATGTCCAGTGGTCCACCATCAGTGCTACACACATCGTCTCGACCAACTTCTCATCTTTCGTGGCTTTCACCTGTGGCTGCCTGGAGAACAAACTCGAGCCCATCATCTTCAACTACGCTGATGGGCATTCTTAAAAAAAATAAAATTTCACCCAAGCAAACCTGGCGGTTTTATAGTTGCGTCCATGTTAGTACTAGGGCTGGGTATTTTTGCCAAAGTCCTGAATCGTTTCGATTTTGATTCATACAGTTCTAAATTGATTAATTTTGATTCAATCTGTTTTTACAATAATGAAAGTGGTTCAGCTGTGTTTCAAAATACTCATCTTTTAATTTTTCCCGTCACATTAAACACAAAGTGCAAACTTGTAAATCAAACAGTTTAAACTTGAGATGTGACCATAACAGTCTCATAAGCGCACTTGTTTGTGAAAAGTGAAAAAGTGAAGCCTCGCTTGAGCAAGTGAACGTGACACAGCAGATATTCATGAGCTGCATTGTCTTGACTGCAAAAACAATATTTGCAGCACTGTCTATAACAACTACAGGGTGTTTGCTGGTCAGCCCCCATTTTTTAATGTCTTCAATCAACCTATTGGCTATATTTGCAGCTGTCTGGCTTGAAGTAAGCTTCAGTGCATCTTTCCTGTTCATTTGAATGTGAACGTCACGTGCGTCACTATAAAACTAATCGATCTCATTCCCTAGACATCGATTTTGCAAAAATGTAAAGGAATCGATTCAAAATAAATAAATTTTTTTACGCAGCCCTAGTTAGCACATTACATTCGCAAGACTAATTCGTTCATTCCTCACCAGACATACATCCGTGATAGATCCCAAACCAACTGTGAGAATAGATTAACGCCGGTATTTTTTTATTGCCCGATAAGAGTCTGGCGTCAATGGGCTGCGTTAACGCCGAGAACGGCCCACCACTAATAATTAGACACAAAATAAAACAAATAAGACTGGATTGTAAAAGAGAAGCAACTGAGCTAGAAACTTGGAGAGAATTAAAAGTTGTTCATCATACCAGTTAGTTTTATCCCTTCTTGAACACACCTGGATCAAGAGTGGCTCGTCACCACAGGCTAATGGCATCCAGCAGTTTGATTCAGGTCCCTCGAGGAGAGATGCATCTAAAAGCTGCAGGGTTGGAATTCCGTTTCCCCCAGTTTAAAGTATTTAATTTTGCCGACATTTCCCATTGTTTTTATTTGGAGTAATAACATTTCAGATTTGCCTAGCCAGAGTTCCTACTTGAATCTCTGTAGGGAACTAAAAAGAATGTGACGGCACGGAGGGACCACGACCTCAGGGCTCATGACCGTTTTGAAATACCAGAGGGAGGCATCTAAAAACCTGGTTAGCGAATATATAAAAAAGGTTTGATTGGAGCTTTGATAATAAAGATTTCCCAATTTCTGATTGACAAAAGTGTATATAATTTTTGCAACTTTGAAAAAAAAAGTCTTTTTTTGATTCTCCTTTAATATCATTTATTTCCGTTTCCAAGATGCCCATTGTATGGCCTATCAAAATTAAATGTCTTGATTGAATGAAAATAATTTTAAATCTTAATCATCCTGGGGAATTCATGTTTGGACTTATATTTATGTTTAGATTAACTCAAACAGCACAACACAGATCTTGTTTCAATAATAAAATCTTCTGATCAGCATAATGAAAGGCTGTTTTTGAACTCTGAAAATATTTTCACAGCCTGTCATTGATTATCTGCAGCAGCAAGGGAAACATGGCCGCTCCTCGTGTTCGCAATCCATTCTGTTTGCAAAGTGTTTGAATATTTTTGGTATAATTAAGTAATGTTTACAGACTATTTTGAAAATCTTAGCATTCCTGCCCTGTGACAAATGATTTATTGTTGAGACCATGATTGAAGCAATATGACAATGAGTTGTGAAAGAAAAAAAATAAATAAAAACATCTAAGGCAGGGTATCAGTCACAGCTTTCTATATGATCCAAGCAAGCCCTGTTTGATCCTTATGAAAGAAACATTTAAACGCGTGAAGTGTACGTGCTAACAATCACGGTGGTGTTATTTCAGGACCTGGCTAAGACACAACTGGAATAATTTCCCTGAGCAGAAACAAGATGAGAGGCTGATAGCTTACTTCCATTTTGTAATCCACTTATCTGAATCGAGCTCAAGATATCATGAAAGCCTCTTTTCTTTCATTTCCTTTTATACTGTGTCTTATCTTAATTTCATTTGCTTCGCAGGTGCCACAAATAAAATATTTTGGCAAATTTCTAAACGGCATAAAACATCTCATTTATAGCATCTGGCTGTGATTACTGTAGGCCACACAGGAGCTTTGCACCCCTGTCTTAGCTGTTACATCACACAGATTGTATTTGGCAACATATTTATACTGTGTTCACAAAGTATAAAGGCCCTTTGAAGTGACTCTCTGCAAATATTTGTTAAATACTTTAGAACAAAAATCATGTTCTCCATTAGCAAGTTTTCTCAATACATGTGGTAGTTAATTTAATGGGGAATATTATCTTTCTTATAGCTGTTTAATTTCTGTTGTGTTCTCAGTTGCTACTCATTAAAATGCATTTACATTTTCATGTCTCAAATAGAGAAATGTTGAAAAAGGAGGTAGAGTTGCTGAAAAGTGATAAGGTACTGTAAGAATACAATTTATCCTCTG